AAAAAAGTGTTGGTTAGGGCCTTTGGGAATTAAGGTGACGATATGTGGGTATTCACCAAACTGACCAAGTGGCCTGGCACTCTGGCAAAAGAGCAGAATAGCTCAAGCAACGACTGTGACAAAAGTTGTTGTTTGAGCTAATCTGCTCTTTTGCCAGAGTGCCAGACCACTTGGTCAATTTAGTGAATACCCCTTATAATTTAATTTTTTTGGAGTCGTTTACCATAGTTTCTTGCCCTCCAATTTTTTATTTACATACATATCGATGGCTGAGTGGAAGATCGACGTATTTCGGCAGCCAGTTCGAAAACGCCCTATCTCAGAATTTTATTTAAAAACACCCTCACCCCTATTGCGAGTGTCGACTAGTAGTAGATAAACGACTATTTTTCGATTATCGCTTTTCCATGGTATTGTGAATGTCGATTTATCGTTCAATATGCGACTGTGAATAGTTTTTAGTCGCTCATCCTTCTACAACTGTTTGTTTGTATTGTAAAAGGATGTGCGACTATAAACTATTCCCACTCACTTATTCAACGAGAAAACGACTTTGAAAATACCACGGAGAATCGATAGTCGACTAATAGTCGTTTATCTACTACTAGTCGACACTCGCAATAGGGGTGCCTATCTCAGAATTTGGTTCAAAAACACCCTATTTTAGCTGCCGATTCAAAACCGCTGTATTTCAGCACATTTTCAATGTATTTTCGTTTGAGATAGGGCGTTTTGAACCGAATTGTGGGATAGGGTGTTTTTCAATAAAATTCTGAAATAGGGCGTTCTTCAATAAAATTCTGAAGTAGGGCGTTCTTCTTCAATCAAATACTGAAGCAGGGCGTTCTTGAAAAGTTTTCTGAGATAGGGCGTTTTCCAACTGGCTCCCTGGGGAAACCAAAATATGTTCGTCTTTAAGCTTTTAAATAGGCTGGCTGGCGAGATGGGGATTTCACATACACATGGAATAGTCGTTGCAGAATACCATAGCATATATAACTCAATTCTTTCTTAAGTCTACTTAGGCGGTTACTGCTTATGACCACAGATATTGTATGTATTATATTCTTCCCGATAAATAATAATAATAAAGTTACATTTGAGCAAAATATGTATCTATTATTGTTTTTCTTGTTTGGTCATTTCGAGAACGTCCTTCATTTGAGCGGTTTGGTGGAACTGTTAAAACATTAGTTACGGCATCATCAATTTCCGGTACAAGTTGTGGTGCAGTTTTATCATTAAAGCGAATGCAAACATTATTCAGTACTGCTGTTGCAACAATAATGTAAGGAACTGTCGTGACCTTCATTCGAATCCCCATGGATAGCACGGGAAATCTGCGCTTCCACACACCGTATGAGCGCTCAATACAATTTCGAGTTCTGATGTGCGACTCATTATACAGATTTTCTGCTCTATTTCTACAATTTAAAAGCGGCGTCAACACGACGTTCGTGTTTTCATAACCACTGTCAGCAACAATGACTGCATTTAGAAATTCCTTCGCCTCCAATCGGTAGCAAATACGCGAATTACGGAAAATCCTTGAGTCATGAACCGATCCTGGCCATCGGGCAACAATGTCTAATATTTTTAAATTGCTATCACATATGGTTTGCACATTGAACGAGAAAAAACCCTTTCTGTTACGAAAGACTTCACCATCATCACCTCCTGTATAGAAATGGTGCTATTACTATTGTTTTTTAACTAGTAATCTTACATAATCACCTGGCGACATGATTTTAACATGGGTGCAATCCATTGCGCCAATTACACGCGGAAAATTTTAAATTTCTTTAAAAGCAGCCTGTGTGCTCAAACGCTCCTGTTCCGTCTGAGGGAGTTAAACAAAATCTGCCCGTAAAGAAGCAATATGATGAGATACAAGTTTAATAGCCCGTGATGCACTTGTTTTTGAAACGCCGCAAAGATCTGCCACAGTTTGCTGAAAAGATCCTGATGCATAGAACCTGAGTGTAATGAAAAACATTTGATGTGGTTGCATAGCGTTGTTGCTGCCAATGGAAAAGTAATTTAGGAAAAAAACATTTACATTCGTCAAATGATATGATCTTACCGTGTTCCAATATAAATTTTTTCTTTTATTAAAGAAAAAATAAACCAAGCAGCATCTTTGCACATACGAAATCGATCACGAAAATCAACATCATCGTAATAATGAAAAAATCAGGACGTTCTTTTATTTTTCTTTTTCGTCGAAGAACGATTACTTGTAGAACATCAAAATCGAAATCACTTTCATCTGAATCTACAAAATCCATTATTATTTACAAAAATTTACATTTAACACAGAAATATAAACCACTTCAAATAAAGACGCCAAGATTATTATAGCGGGGTTGCTATAGCTGTACAAACGAAATAAGTACTATTTCTTTCATTTACATTGTGCACTACAGCAACACTGTCGTAAGTCAAGAATAAGCCAACTAAAGGGTAGGCTAACTTTCGGCTTAGGTTAGCCTAGATGGTGAAAATGAATAAGCCCAAAAAATGGCTTAACTAAGTTAAGTTGAGTTGGAGAAACCAGCCCTAAGATTTCTTTTCATAACAAATCAAACAAAAACCTTCGTTGAGCGGACGCGAACTCCTCATAGGCGGACTACTAAATGGGAAAAGGGGACTTCCCGCACAAAATGTGATTGTCATGCACACATTTAGTTTGGTTTGCGCAGTGGTTTAGGTTCGTTATTTGAATTGTCAGAAACCCTTGGAGACTGATAAAAACATGAAAACTATTGATGAAAAAGGTACTGACACTGAAAAAAATTAAAAATAAAACTTACGTCAATCGAGAATTTCCCAGTTTTTTATGTAATGAATCTATGATTTTATGTAGTTTATGGACTAAAATGTTATATTTATTTTTATTTTGTTATTACTTAATATGTACTTACGCACATAAATGAAATGTGCACTTTTGAAAAATACATGCTCATTTTTGTTTGAACGATGTAATATCAATATCTTTTATTCAAATAAGAAATAGTGACTATTCATTTAATTAAAACATTAAAAAGTTCTAAAATAATCATCCCTTCCATTGAGCGGACACCTCTCTTAGGCGGACAAAAAATGACTGACGGTGAGTGTCCGTCCGTTTCAATCATTTCAAATGTGGCTCTTTGGGGAATTTATATTAAGGAAAAATTAAAAAAACAGTAATTTTGTTTACTTGTCGGGCAATATTTTTTCATAGATAAATATGTATGTACATTGAATCATTGCCTAAAGGCCTCTGTAGTAAAACTCTCCCCCTACGTCTCTCTTCTTTGCTATTTAAAGTGAAAGATTAAGCTCCTACAATAGGGATTTCCAGCAGAAATCTTGAACATTTAGCTATAAAGAGAATCGATACTGAAATATTTAAAAAGCTATAGGTCCGACCTTTAATTAGGTAAGAATTACGTAACTATCTGAAACCCTCATCACTCGTAATTCCAATAATTCAAATGATTATAAAAATTGGGTGCTTTTTAAAAAAAAATAACAATAACCAGTTTCTTAAAAATAGAATTTTGTTCAAATATTCATTCCTGGAAAATAATAATTTATTTTCCATATCCACCTATCTAGCTCGCCCACAAATTCTTCAAACCATTCGCAGAAGACCCATTAAAAATTAATTACAAAAACTTAAATCGAAAAACGCTGATGACCTTAAAATTAGGAAACTCCTTTTAGTGCTGTCAAAAGCGGCTTTAAAGTCGACAAATAGGTGGTGAGTGTCGATCCTTTTCTCGCTGGTCTTTGACAAGATTTGGCGTATTGTGAATACCTGGTCTATGTTGGATTTGCCAGGTCTAAAGCCACACTGATAAGGCCCTATCAGTTCATTGACGGTGGGCTTCAGTCTTTCACACAATACGCTCGATAATACCTTGTAACCTATGCTTAGAAGGCTGATCCCGCGGTAGTTGGCACGAATGGCGGGGTCACCTTTCTTGTGGATTGGGCAGAGCACACTTAAATTCCAGTCATCGGGCATGCGTTCATCTGACCATATTCTGACCAAGAGTTGATGCATCCACCTTATCAACCCCTCGCCGCCGTACTTGAATAACTCAGCTGGCAGCTGTAGTAGACGTCGCAAGGCCCCAGACATTGCTTTCCTTGCCCCGTCCAACGCATTTCTTGGATGGCGGTAATGTCAGCTTTTGTCCTTACGAGGACATCAACCAGCCGGACAGATGCACCTTCCCCGTTAAGGGTCCGGTCCTTTAAACGTTTGCCGTGGTCGTCGTGCTTAACTGCGTGTGGTGGTACGGGGCGTATACGTTACATACGCAACTACGGTGATTAAGTACATGTTTCACCAAAATTACCCAACTGACTTAGTTCCCTAACATAGTTCCCCACCACAAGCAACATTAATGATGAAATTGTTTTTAGACATAAATCGCCATAAGTAAATAATTGAATATCGCAAGTGCCATATGATTGCTCAAACATTTTTTTGAGCACATTAGTAAAAAATATTGCAAGGAACAACTTGACACTTAAACGCGATAAAAATCACGAGGAATTTTTTACCAAAGAAAAGAACATTTATAAAAAAGTTTGAATGATTATAATTATTAAAAACGTTTCTTATCATCATTTAGAAAACAATTTTTTTTAATGCGTCACAAACTTTCAAGAAAATCACATGAGACTTT